AAATGTAATAATGTTAATCTCCTTATATGGTTTAAGCATATTTACTAATTACAAATACAAAAGAGAGTAAAACTAGAAACACTTTTTTTTTTCCCCTGTGATAAGCTAATAAAAGAGGATGACCAGCTGAGTGCAAGCAACAATTATCTAATGCAGTATTCCCAGATGGAGAAAAAGGATATTATGGCACATCCCTGGAATGCTACTGTGGTTTAAAAAAAAAAAAAAAAAAAAAAAAGACATATCCTGTTACCATCAGAAGGAAACGAAACAGTTCTCGGGAGCAGATGCCATATTAATTACTGTACTCAGTTGATAATATTCCACAAATAAGGGTGCAATGGTATTTTAGCCACGCTGAGCTTAATTGCTGAAAGAGTCTGGACTGCTTAAGTACACTGGCAGTAAGCAAGCAAGGAAGTGCTTTATTCCAAAGAGGAACTCTGTTCTGCCCTGCACTAGAAGGAAGGCTACTGTTGTTATGAGGCAGTGATTTGCCCCCATAAGATATTCTTTGGCATTAACCCAATGATAATTCCATCCTTGCCACTAGACTAACGTGCTGCACAGACCAAAGGGGTGAGACTCAAACAGAGAGCTCTGAAACTTGTCTTGCTGCATGACACAATTTTACTATCTGCTTACCAGGCTGGTGGTATCTTGCAAAAGGCTGGGCAAGGTCTTCCCTGTACTTATTAAAAGCAGATATTAAACAGACTGGACTTCAAGAGACGGTTGCACTTTCTGAGCAGAAGAACATAAAGGGAGATTGTCACTGAAGGACAGAAAGATTAATGGTTTTCAAATGATATTTTTCTTGGATAAGAAAGGAGTAAATTTCAGTCCTACTGCAAGGTTCTGATCTTCAGGGCAATAACATGACATTCTCCTTACTTATAAAATAGCTTTGCCTCTGTGGAGATTATGTTCTGTCATACTACATAAGAAGATGGGGAGTTAAATATATGCTTGTTCAGCTAATAACCTGATGAATGTAGAGGAAGGATGACATTTCTATGTCATTGTCTGCAATATTTCACTGGCTACAGCCTGATGATTCCTCTAGAAAGACTAATGTTAGGTTATTAAGCCAAGCCACAGCACGCAATATAATTTAAAGACCATCCAATCTCATTAGTTAGTGCAGCATCACTAGGAAACAGTCTGCTATTTGGTATGCCTTGTATCATATCATTGCCACTTCTGTACATGTCTTTATCACAAGCAATTAATCTCATATTCTTGAAATTTTGCTGTAAAACTCTTTCCAAAATGTCACACATCCTGTGAGCATTACTAGCAATGAGCCAACATCCTCTGACAGGCCATGAAACACTGCACATTGCTTATTTGCTGATAAAGTGTTCATATGAGATTCATGCTAGAGACTGACATAATAAAAAACTGCAGTTTTGCCTCCCTCCTGCCCCTTCTCAATTTCTGGCACGTACGCACAGAGGCAGAAAATTGCCACCAAATCAGAAGAACAGGGCTTTTTCCTTCCTACTTGACACAGGTATAAATAGTTATACGTGCTGAAGCGGTGGAGATGCATGCCCTGCCCAGGCCAGACCGAGTCAGAGTCACTCAAAGCTCCCTGCGGAGATGGAATGCTGCTCACCATGAGTAACACTGCCAGCTGCTGCAGACTCCGGTCTCGTTCACAAGAAGTAACCCATGATTAAAGGAGAAAAGGAAATAGGTAACGCAATACATGGCTGACATCTCATTGTACAGCTGTGACTGCATTTCACTCTGGGACAGCCACACACTGTACTTGCACTTATTTACTTACTCTTTGGACATCTAACTATCTTTTTCCTTGTCCTGTATTTGAAACAGTTATTTGCTCTAGGTGATGATAATATCTTCGGTGACTGACAACCACTAGGAATACCTGTGTGTAGAAACTTTTGGTCTTGTCATTATTCTACATATTTAATTTCTGATTCATATGTGGACTAAGCCAGGGAGCAAATAGCAATCAGACTGAATTAGTCACAAGCCAAAATGCTCTTCTTGTATAATACATGTGGGTTTGGGTCAGAAGTGTAAGTCATAATCAACACGAAGCTGAAGAACAGGCCCTTTTCCAATATGGAGACTGGGACCAAAACCACAGTGTCCAGTGGGCCGGGTCCAGCAGTACTCGGGAACGCAGCTTGCCCAGTCTAGCTGTCCCCACCCACCAAGCACCATGATTTTCTCCTTCAGAATTCAGACAGACTTCCAAAAAATCAGAGCTCTAGTTTGAGACATTTGCAATGTCATAAAAATATGCCCACACGCATTAAATATATTTCTCCCACTGACTTTTCAAAGCAACTCTGCTACTCTTTTTTTTTTTCTTTTTTTGCAACTGCCATTTCTTGATTGTACTCTGCTCAGGCACGTCAGCTCTCTGCCATAACATCTCTGCAACACTTAATCTTGTCCTTCTCCATCACATATCACTTTCTTTTACTCCCTCTACCACCACAACTATGATCATCACCTAATCCCATCCAACAGCTAACTCTTATCCTTCCCATCCCCGGCCTCCCAGCAAGTAGCAGCAAATATTGTCACCAAGACTGCCATCTGCTAGGTGCCATGGAGTACCAGGCTGCTACTGTCAGGGCTGCCACAGAGCTGAGAAGACAAGTAGGATGTTGCTGCCTGTGGCAAGGGACTGAGGTGGGAGAGCTGCTGCCACCCAAAAGGAGATGGCAAAATGGGCACCTAAAACCTCCTGGGGAAAAAGAGCACCTGATCAGCACCAGTGGCTACTCTGGTTTGTGAGTGCAGCTACATGGAAACTGAGCAGCAGCTTCCCATTTCCTCCAAGAAAACAGTGAAGGGCTCTGGCACATGGTCCATGCATCACTCACTTGGACTACAGTGAACAGGATTATACCTTTATTTTCCCAGTGTTATACTCAGCCAGGGCATCAGAGCTTTCCCCTTTTAGGTCTCTAAGCCATAAAAGAATCTCAAAACTAGCATGTGGCAGAAAAGTAATTTATCTTAGCTGAACAGCTATGAGTCGAGGGTTTTTTTTATTAACCTTTTTTCCAATTTGCAGTGGCTTCAGACTCCACATGGATTTCAGACAGGAAAGTCCCAAATATCTGCAGTCTGCTTAAAAAGTGAACTGCGCACTTGTTCCAGATGATTCCCCCTTTCCCCTACACCACAGAGCACTTACAGCCTTGCCAACATGCTCCCCTTTCGCAAGACGCAGGGTGGGAGCGAACATTATTCAGTTCCCTGGCTGGTTCAACCTTGTTCTCTTTTTTACACTATGGCACATATTTGTGCAGCGTGCAACAACCCAATGAGAACATCTTTTCCAAGTGGTATTTCTTAATGGCATTTGGAGAAAGACTTGTAAGTAATGTCACTTGAATTGCAAATTAAAGCCTCCTTAACACACTTCCATGACTCTGTTTTTCCCTTGCATTTTCCTTTTTATGCCTCTTTCAGTCTGTATTTTCTTTGATTGGAAGCACTGAAAAATTGTTAAAACAAAGAGTGCAAGTACTTTTCTGCTCCCTGTCTCCTCACTCCCTCCGATATGTTTTATTTCTGTTCTTTTAAGTGCTTTGGATCAGGTCCATGCCTCTGGCACTATTCCTCCAGCCTTGACTTACGTCTAGAATAGCATCTTCTGGCAAGTCTCCTGCTCCTCACTGGCTGGCTACTGTGTGCAGGGCTCCTGCTTTTCATGGATCAAGGGCTTAGGCATCTTGAGACTAGCACTGGCCTCTCCACTTGGCTCCAATGTTTCCTTTTCAGCCTCCTCACAAAAATTAACCAGGGTTTAATAGTTAGTTCTCAATACAGTGCTCCCTTGTTTATTTTCTTCACATGTCTATTCTTTCTTTCTATTCCTGGCCACAAAGAGAAGAAAGCTGGAAGAACACCACTTTTGCCAGTTTATTACCAATTTTGAGCTGTGAAAGCTGGCATAGTAAGGAGGTAGAGGGAACAAGGGAGGACATCTAGAGAGAACAGATTAGGCAGTCACCAGGCCTGTTGCTGCACCTTCTGCAAGACCCCAGTGTAAGTAAGTATCCCCAGGAATGTGGGCACTATTCCTTAGCCCTCTCCTTGGCTGTAAGTAGCCTTCCTAACACTTCTCTAAATTTCAATTCCTCTTGTGCAAAACCTAAGTAGAGCACAGGGGCTACATGCTGGCACCCTGTACAAGGGTGAGATCTGAAGGATGGATTAGTTCAGCAAAAGAGCGAAATTGTAGGCAGGATATTATAATCCTGAGTATAGCAGTGGTCATGACTACACTCTACTTCCCACAGTACGAAGTACAAAACTGAGAGAAAATATCTTTTCAGTTGTCCTAGAAATAAAATCTTTCAGGAAATGAAAATAAAGGGTACTTGGCTTTAGATTGACTGGATCGTTTTATTTGGCTAAAAATTTCTCTCTTTTTTTGTGGGTAAATGCAATTTCTTTCAGTCCCTTTAAAGAAGCAGATTAATTATGAAAATGAAAATATAAACAGCAGACATAGCAACCCTCCCTTTAAAAATGTAGATATGACACATTTTAAAGTTTTTGAATATTCCCCACTCCTTCTCAGATAAAAACAAGAGGAAAATAATTAGGCTCATTGCCTTTTTGCAGTCTATTTACTAATCTCAAGATTTCTTCTTCTTCAAATGAAGATGAAATCATAAGATCTCACCTCACCCATAAAAGCCAGTGCATCTAATCTAAGGTGGTAGCTAGACTATTTGTAGCAGGTCTAGGCACCTGCAGAGTGATTCATCCTCCCTATTGCAGACACCTCTCTTAAGGTAGGATGAAGTGCTCTCTGGCAATGCTTCACTCCCTACTGATCACGGAGGAAATAGGGACAATTCATTTGGACTTAACACTTGAGTTTTAATGGCTAAATTTAGATAAGATAAATTTCCCCTTCTGGTCTTCTGCATCCTTATGTTTTTCTTTATTGGAGAAGACCTAATTTTTCTTGTTTCTAGAATTTAGGTACATACCTTCAAGAAGTCACGGTCACAGTCAGATCCATCTTCTAAATCAAAGGCTGTGAAGCTATAGTTGAGTGTGTTCCCCTTTGTAGTTTGGATAGTCCAGTGGCAGTGCTCATTTAATGGGTAATTATTTGGATAATTTAAACTTTCCAATATGCCATGGCTACGATTAACAGTCAGTACTTCATGGCAAACTGAAAAAAAAAAGTGATAATAAATTATATTTGTGCAGCGCTTATTAACCCAGTATCTCAAAAAATTACTAATTGAAGTTACTGATAGCATTACAAGGTGAGAAACGTTTTTATTCACAGATTAGAGAAATCATGCAGAAAGAGAATTGTGACCTATTGAGGAACATATTGCATATGTTGCAAACAAAATCCAGACTTTCCAAACTTGAATCCTTCAGCTCTATTATGTCCTCCTTTTCTGACACTTGCAGACTCATCAGTATATGTAGTACATATATTTTTGGCAGTTTTCTTTAATTCTAAATACATGGTTATTCCTGAAACATGTTTTCTTCTTTTTTTTTTTAACTAATAATAGAAATTTGCCCTGTCATTTGAAATAATTTGGGGAGGGTGCTCAACAAAGATTGACTAATGGATTAAAATGGTTTATTTCAGCAAACTAATAAAAAAATTATAACCCCTGGCTAAAACAACAAATGGAAAGTACACTATTTGTATTGGATTTTCTAGCTCCAGGAACTGGAAGTGATCATGAAATTCTTTAAAAAGGAGCCATGATTTTCCTCGTGAGTCATCCAATAACATCCTAGCATAAGAAATGGACACTCACCTGGAATAATGAGAGCTTTCCTTGAAGTGCAGAGAAAATGAAAAAGAAACTAAACTAGATAAAGAGTGACGTTACAATTACAGCATTAGATCAGTGAGTCTCATTTTCCTGTATCCAACTTCCACTAAAGACAGAAAATATCAATGTGGGCAATCCCTCACCTGGAGAGAGCATACAATGTGTATCGGGAGCGGAGAAGTGGGCAGGAGGCGGGGAGCTTTGTACAGCAAATCTTCTGTGTTTGAAGAGTAGAAATAGCTGAGATTCACTTGCAAAACTCGTCTGTCACTAGGGATAATACACCTACCTCCTGCAAATTTTTTTTATTCTTTCCAAATGATTTACAGAGCAGCAAGGTCTGTGTTTTTAGGACTTCAAAATGCTCAGGATACAGCTGAAGGTCAGGGTCAGGTGGAGTGGAGCTCGTCTGCAAAGCTACACTGAACATACAACTGTTTGAAAGGACAGGATGAAGAGCACAAAATGGATTTTGAAGAATGCAAGTCGGGTAAAAGCTGCTACCCCCTGCCATCAAGATTTTATTAGAAACATATCGGACACAAAGGTGCCTTTGAATGTTAACTTGATACCATGTTTTCTTTTGCAATGTTTTCCAATTCATCATTACATTTCTTTCATGTACACATAAATGCATCTGGCATCTAAGTATCCTTATTTTATACCACTATTTCCTACATAATTTTAGCTTTTGGGCAGGCCATTGAAAGCTTTCGCTGATGCATCTTCAGGAATTAAATATGAATGTAAAGTGTAGATCACATTATCTGATAGCTCAGGTTCTATATCTGAGTGCTTTGAAAGTGCTCTTTCTGTTTAATTAATGAAAGCGGGGGAACCCTTTTCTAATACATTGTCTTGACTTTGCAGTCTGAAAAGTACATAGTAGATGTATCTTTAAGGAATGAAGGAATGAGGGAGCCAAAGCTCCCTCACTCTTCTAATTATTATATGTGTCATGTGTGGATGAATAGCTTTGTTTTTTTCGTAATCCATTTACTATTGTCCAAACCTAGGACAACTTAATGTCTATAAACCTACAGCAATATCTATCAATTGGGCATGTCATATTTAGATGCTTGCAAATCATTTTGTATGTGGTGAAATTCCATATCTTCCAATGTGCATTCAACCATATATGCTAGCGTATAAAGAGAAAATAAACACCGGGACGATAGTCAAGGTTATGACGGGGAACAAAATAACTTTAATTTGTTATGTATCTTCTTGGATTTTTCTCCAAATGTTATTATTCTGATATTTCTGGGGTAGAACTATTTTACAAAAAAGAATGTTTGCAAGAAAAATGTGACCCTTACCATAAGATATAAAAAATGAAACTTTTTGAAGTGTTCCAGGTAGGCTAAATGATCCTAAGCACCCACAATGATCCAGGATGGCTTATCCTTTGCCATCCTGCCTCACAAGCAGCTAGAAGAGCAGAGAAGCTTGTTCCATCTGCCTTCTCTGTTAAAAAGTCAGGAGACCGGGTGAGCAGAAGAGCAAGAACAGTCCAATCTACCCTGTTATGGACTTCCAGCACTTGTTATTCTGAGTAAATCTGGAGTGGTAACTGCCGCTGGCGCAGGTAATAGAAGCAGAGCCACCTCACCAGCTTTCTTCTAAGGAGGAGATAATCTCCATCACGGGTAGATGAGCAGATAATTTTTAGCTCTCTGTGTTCTGTGACTGTAGCAGGCTAGAGAATCTGGGTCAATAATATGCTGTATACATTGTCTTCTACTCATGAATAGGTAAGATCATGGGCTGCAAGAAGCAGTTTCAGGAACAAGCTGAACTGTAGAAACATGTTCTTCTCAGCTTCTCTTACTTACTTACCCTGTTTGTATTTAGCTAAAAAACCTCCACCTCGCAGGCTGTTATCTGTCCTTAGTTTTACATACACACTGTCTCCACTGGAATGGATGGGTTGTGGTATCTGATTCCCACAAAATTTACCTAGCTGTTTACCATTACTGCTGTTGCCATCATACACCTTAAAAAAAAAAAAAAAAAAAGAATTTAATAAAGTTGATGGCATTACAAACCCAAGTAATTCCCCCCTGACAAATGTCTGCTTAGGGAATTATTACTGGGTATATAAGAGGTTAAATTCTATTTCTGCTCAGAGGAAGCCTGACAGGCATTTCAGAAACAAGCAATTCAGTGGAAAAACAGGAAGCCAGTAACCGAATACTGGTGGGTTTTGAGGGGCTTACTCATCAAGAGGGGAAAACTGAACTCCATTTCAAATCTATTAAAAATATTCAAATAATTTATGCAACAATTCAAATATGAAATCTGGGATTAACAATAGGGTTACTGACACTGTTGTGCCTTTTTCTTTGTAATTTACTAAGAGAGCATACTAAGGCCTTGGTCCAAAACACAGCAAATTTAAAAGATATAGACAGATTCTTGTTTCAGTGGCCTTCCTATCTAGGCATAAATGCTTTTCTTACCAGCAGCTACACAGACACTGCTGCCTTACCTCTCACTGCTCTGTGATATGAAGGTAGCATGTCAGCATGGAGATTTCCTATTCTGGGTCTGTTCAGTTATGAACATTGGAAGACCAGGGCCGTGTGTTTTTCCTTGCCTGTGCACTCATCATACTCAGCTGCCTCCTATGGAGCAAAGTGTCACAGGGTACATACCGCAAGGTAATCGAAGTTGCACTTTGGGTGATACTCTAGATGGAACTGTTCAAACTCGATTTCGAATGGGGTTCCTCGGTTTCCTCTGAGCAACCAGTAGCACTCTGAATTGTGGTAATATGGCATTGGGTAGTTGGGAGACATGAAGATACCAGAAGCTGTCATCAAAGTCCCACCACAACCTGAAAATGGCAAAGAAACCAAACCAATATTTAACATCTAGAAGAGAGAATTAGACATGGTATGTGAGATTCATGCACTGTGAGATACGTGTGAGATTCAGATTCACTACTGACCTCCTTCACATGCCCTGAACATTTTCAGTGATGCCCCAAAAATCATAGAATCATAGAATCATTAAGGTTGGAAAAGACCTCTAAGATCATCAAGTCCAACCGTTAACCCAACACCACCATGCCCACTAAACCATGTCCCTAAGCGCCTCATCTACACGTCTTTTAAATACTTCCAGGGATGGTGACTCAACCGCTTCCGTGGACAGCCTGTTCCAAGGCCTGACCACTCTTTCAGTGAAGAAGTTTTTCCTAATGTCCAGTCTAAGCCTTCCTTGGCGCAACTTGAGGCCATTTCCTCTCGTCCTATCGCTTGTTACTTGGGAGAAGAGACCGACCCCCACCTCGCTACAACCTCCTTTCAGGTAGTTGTAGAGCACGATGAGGTCCCCCCTCAGCCTCCTCTTCTCCAGGCTAAACAGCCCCAGTTCCCTCAGCCGCTCCTCATAAGACTTGTTCTCTAGACCCTTCACCAGCTTCGTTGCCCTTCTCTGGACATGCTCCAGCACCTCAATGTCCTTCTTGTAGTGAGGGGCCCAAATCTGCATTTAGCCAACAGTGTTGTAAGAAGAAAAGAGCCCATAGCACCTGGAAATATGAACTATCTAATTTGAAGAGTGCTCTGATAGATAGTTAATCTTCAAATAGAAACCTCTCCATTAAATTCTTGGTTACTGTTTTCCTAAACATATGAGAAAGTTGATGCTACATTATATCTGGGGAATAGTATATCCTTCCCTATGGAGAAAAAGAAAGCCCAAGGATCAAGAAAGTTGTATCCTTGATCTTAACAACATGAATATATGTTGCTATATAATTAGCAGACAGATTTTAGAAGATGGAAAGCAGAAAAGATGTGGGGGAAAAGATGAGAAATTAAAGACAAATGAAAGATCAAAAATGAAATGTGTAAAATGGTTTTATACTTGATGAGGTCATTTTACCTGCTGATGTACCATCCCATTCTGCTGAAAATCCCTGTCTTGTGCCAAAAATGTCACTTAAAAACTTTATCCACAGCTTGTTACCGTGAGAGATTATAATGGGAGGCAGGTCTGTACCACAGTATTTTCCAAGAGGAGGAGAAGTTTCATAGCCTCCATCTCTAGAATGATAGAAAAGAAAAACCTTGGGTCAAAGAGAGAAACCATGAGAAAGGTTAACAAATCAAAAATCTTGGGATTCTTTCGGGCCTGGGAAAGACTAATCCTGACTATTCATCTTCCATAGCAATACAGCTACCAAATACTGGAGGAGTCCTTCTTGCAGTAAGGGGTCCTACCACAAGCATCTGCTTGCTGGGTACATCCACTCTCTCATCTCAGCAGCCTGTCCCAGAGTCTGTCAATACAATGACAGACTCAAGAAGTGTCTCAAATAGGCTTGATGCTGCAAAGGCAGGACCTTCTATGTGTAATCATTGGTGTAACCAAAGGTAATCTTCTAATTTGAAGAAATAAGTTTGCTCACTTCTCACTGTTTAGCCTGGTACAAAACCAGATGAGCTGACCTATTAAAAAAAACATGTTTATTTGCCACCACACAAATGAGAACCCATTTCTCAGAACTGATATGATGCATGTTTTGAAATATTTTCTTAGCCTTCAGAGTTGTTTCTACAACCGCTTATTTCCCATTTTTAAAATAAGTAATATTTTCAGTAATATTTTCTAATACTGTAATCAGGATGCACATGCTACCCGCACATATCTTCTGGGAATAAAAAAGATGGTGACAACCTGCTTATCAATTGCTTTCTAAACTTATCTTTGAGCACTTTCATATTACAAATACCCTACAGGTCATTAGGACAACAATAAATACATTTATACTATATATGGGTGTGATCTTGATATGATGCTTTTTAAGTGGACAGTAATACTTTCAATTACATTTTCACAGGTTTTTATGTGCTTTTGAGAGAAATTTCTGCTTAGACCTTGCCACTTTGTTTTCTTGTCATCCTCCCAGCTTAAACTGCTTGCCGCTGTCTCAGGTTACTGGCAGTTAAAGAACTGTGCCAGAACCTCCCCTCACTTGCATCTCGGCCTCTGCAGCTGTGGTCAGATGAACAATTTTCCTAGTTGACTGAATGCAATTTATCAGAGGACACCTCAGGACAAGAAACCAGAGTGGCACCTCATCTAAGACTTATCTAGCTACCCCATTTAATGGTATCAGGTTTGATGAGACATTCTAGAAATCCAGTTATGGCAGCAGAAATGTGCTGAGTTGCACTTAGCAATGTTCTGGCCATATCTTAAAACCTGTTTAATGCTGCTGAGCTCTTCACATGGACCACAGAGTTAGATTTATGCAATAAATGAATGCTTTCAGTTCTCGAGATGAAAAAGTGAAAAAAAACCCTGTTATAATTCAGGTCTACCCCAAATTAAGGTGTTAACTGTTAACACAAAGTTAGATTAAATTTAATCTCAGATTGTTGTTTTAAAATGAAAAAATGAAACACTTTACTTCTTAGAAAATACTGAAAAAGCCTTTCAGTTTTTCGTAACTTTCTCCAGTTTGTAAGTACAGCTGAAAATAACCAGCTAATTCAGTAGGAATTCAGAATCTCAATACTGCAACTTCAGCAAGCAGCTTTTTGTTTGGTTCTAAAAAGTAAGACACTAGTTACAGAGGAATAACCCATACAGGATATCTGGTATAATGTTCAGAATGAATTTTATCATGGCGTTTATTGAGGTCATGGAAACTCATAGCATGCTCAGAGTGAAAAACCACACTGGTGTTCTGCAGACATGGTTCACCTAGACAGCTGGCTCAAGAGGACAAAAATGGGTGCACTGACACTGCAAAGTGCAAATCCCATACAGCAACACAGCAGAAAGGACGTGTACTCGGTGCAGCTGTATTGTAAGCATGCAGCTAACCTTCCTGCAAATTTTACTTTCTTCTACCTGTCTCTGTCCTGTAAAATTTACTAGAAATCACAATGCTAATATCCTAATTTTAATGGTGATGTCAGTATAGACAAATATCACAGATTATGTATCCTAGTGCTGCATCATAGAATAGCTGCTGTTTAAAGATGATAAACATAAAACAGAGTATGTCACAAAACAGGCAATAAAACTCTTTGTTTCTGCACTAAGAAAAACAACCAGAACGCAGTGCATGGGAACACAGTCCACATACTCCACTTGCTCTGAGAACAGGAATTGACCAAGTGGGAAAGCCGACAATGAAGCAGGATGGGAGGAGGAAAAGGTAGCTTTTAAAGTTCTCTGGTAAGTCCTCTTCCCACATCGACAGCACAGGTGTATAGCTAAAACTATAGCTTCTGAACATGCCTAAGTGGATCTGGATAACTTCCATGGTTATCAGTAATAAGGACAAGAGAAATAATTAGGCTTGCCTGATTTCTACATAATCCTCTGTACAGCGTTTATTCCCTTGCAAGGTGAAGTTGGTGAAGCGCAGTACAATCTGTCTGTTTATTCCCACTGTGATGGTGTATATGCACTCTGTCCGGACAGGGTAGTTATTGGGATAGTTTGGAGATGTTAGCACACCAGTTTCAGTACTGTAGTTGTGTGAGCACACTTTAAAAAGAAAAGAAACAAGTATGAATTAATTTAATACGTATGCTAAATTAACAGGAAATTTCTATTTCCAACAGACAGAGGAGCAAACATCCTGTGCTCCTGCGCATTATAACTCTTCCTGGACACATCTTACTGCTGAATATCATCACTATAAACTAAAACCAGAATCCAGCTTTTTCATGAGATTTCTTATATTTGAGTTGATTTGTTCGGCTTTTACCAGAACACTGTGTCTGTAATAAATAGGCAAGGTAAGAGTAGTTCCAGCTGCCTAAGTTGGCTTTGACCTAAAACGCAGCTAAGCAGAGAAAGGAAACTGAAAGAGGCGTCTTAATCAACACAAAAGGTAGGATTCCTGAATTTCTGAAAAGCAGTGGTGGTGGAAACTGAATACAGTCTCCAGCTACGAGGAGATTCTATATTGTCCGCAGGCATTTCCCATGATCAAACCTGGGAGATGGGGATTTTATATCTAAATTTCTTTTCCCATTTTCTGGGCCATAAGTGACAATTAGCTGGAAAATAGTATAATCCTTAGATTGTGAGGACAAAACAGTTCTACTTAAGGTCTTATACTAAAATCAGCTACATCAATTCTTCTGTGAGCACTGTAGAAGCATCTTGGTATTATAAACTGCAAAGAAGAAAATAGTGTGGACTAATGCTGAGCCAGAACCTGAGCAATAATTAAAAAGAAGCTCTTTCAAAAGCACAGACATAAGAACTAGGAATAAAAATATCTACTGCACAATGGTACATGAGACTTATTTTGGAGAGAACAATTGTCGTGTATTAGTTGATCACAGCCTGAGCAAGGTTTGTGATCTGGCTGCAAAAAGGGCAAGAAGAAGTGTCATCCGTGTCAGACGTTTTCAGTCAAAACAGGGAATCTTGATGCCACTGCATGAGATAATGGTGACATGTCACCTGGAAAAATGTGGATAACCATGGTCACTGATGTTCTGGAAATCAAATGAAAACAAGCAAGATAGAGGTTGTGGAGATAGTGGGAAATTAGTAGATTAGCAGGCAAGAGACACTAGAAGAGCTTAACTTGTTTAGCTTAGCAAGTGCAGGAGAAAGAGACAGAGATAAACATCAAGAAGCATGAAGAAAATAAAAATAGAATAGACTTTCAATGACAGTACAAGCTCTGAAGTTAGAAACTGTCCATGAATACAGATACACAGAAATTAGGAGAAAGTTTCTATCAGGAAGTGAGTTTCTAGAGCAATCATCCAACCAACATAACAGATGCAGAAAGGGGAAAAAACTCCACTGTTTTTTAAGATATCATTTGATTAATTTAATCAAGAAGGAGATCACACTATGCAGCTCTTGGCAAAAAAAAAAGGGGGGGAGGCATAAAATTGTGGGCTGTATTTGATGACCCTGGAGGCTCATTCTGGTTCTTCATTCCCCTGCTTCAGGTCCTACAGGTTGCAAATAAGAAATGAAAGTAGATTTCTCAAATACTTTCTATCAGATAGGCAGGGTTAGGCTAATTATAAAGTATAATTGAAAGAGCAAGCAAAATATTATGATTAACTTTATACTCATTTAAGCTGGTTGCCATAGATCTCTGAAACCTGTTTTCTAACATAGCACAGCTGCAGTGTAGTAATACTTGTGCTTAACGCTTCAATATGCATAATAATTTAGGGGGAAGGGATGAAATTACAGTTCAGGCCCTCCATGTCTAAGGTTGGTCATTTCCATGTCTGTTCTCCAGCCATTCTAACTACTAAAACGCTTTTGCTTTTAATGGTGGCTTTTTTAATGGTGGTTTTTTGCATTCTTAGTCACATGAAAGACTTCTGTTGAAAATGTTTTCTGTGGGATAAATACCCCCAAAGCTAGCTACCAGACTTATGTTCCTCATTCATCACAAAAACAAAGAAACATGACACAGAAACAGGCCAATAATTTTCTGCCATTGGGTTGTACTTTGGTATTGACAAGTCAAAAAGGTTTCATGCACTAGTTAACATAAAATCATGATCTATTAAAGTCTTTATCTAGAATTTTAGTCATTTGTGTGTTCCATCACAGATATGCTCTAATGTATGCATATAACAATCAGGTTAGTCCTGGTCACCTTAAAAACGTTGTGCTGCTTTATAAATCCTTATAATGCCCTTGCTGTGCTCCCAGCTCCCATGGTGTTTCATGATATGTAGGTTTATCATAAAACCCAGATCCTTAATTCATGCAATTTCTTGAGAACCCTGTCTGCAGGGTTAGAAATCTGACTTAGAAATATGACCCAAGTTTTTCCTAATGGCTCATTACACAAAAAGCAATAAAAAATTAAAATTAAAATTAATATGTGTGCGTATTTATCAGCTTACTTATTTTAAGTAATTATTTTCTCCTGATTTTGGAAGGATGGGTGCCTGACTCATGCACATTTAATGGTTAGAGGAATTGGGATACTGCCCTTCCTTATTCACTGAGGCTGAGACCATGAATACTAGCTTTTAGCCTGGAGAATATTAAAATTGATGTACTAGATAAGGGCCCTTAGGGTAAAATTAGCATCACGGAAGCCAAAATATTTTTATCAGCCCTTTTAAGAACAATTTCCACGGAGTTGTCCAGGTTCCTTCCCTCACCAAAGATTGCTTTCTTGGGAGTAATCCATATAGAAACTCATATCCCAAGTGTGCTATTTTAAACTGGATGCTGTATACTGCTCTACACTTCACATAACAATCTTCTTTATGAGCTAAGGGGGATAAATACAGAAGGTGGAACAGTGACTGCCTTAGAAATGTCAGACTTCTGGCTGCAGTGAAATAAATCCAAGTGTAGACTAAGCATACGCTGCTATGAGGATTAGGAAAAGCATAAATGAACCCATGTTTTTTGACAGCCAACTCTCTTCTGGTAACTGGATTCATTTGCTGTGTTCTACTAAAGAGCTGGCACTCCCCTTTTGCACTCACACAGCATTTGGGGGTGTGCTTGGGCAGTAATAGTTCCTTCAGTGAAAACTGTTAGCAAAGTTAGCACGAAAAAAGTACTTTGACTCCTTTGCCAAAGTTTAGAATGCAGTCTAATACCATAATGTGATTATTATATGCCTGGAAAAAATATTAATTCAGTTTAGTTTGAAGACACTTATCGCAGCTCATGAAAAACAGAAGGAGGAGGCAATTGTCGAGGACAATCGCACATTTTGCCTTGCAGTGTGTGAGGTTTGAAAGCTATTCAATCTGCTTTCTGATTTTGGTACTGAATGTATTTGCTCTTCTGAAAAAAATGCCATAAATGGCAGTAACCCACTGTAATAGCCAACAGCAGTGAAAAATGCCAGCTTTTGTACGACTCACTCATGCAATCATGCCTACTGCAGAAAATTATATCCATGTTTTTTCCCACAAAGAGATATTCATCAGTTGCCGCAATTCTAATTAATCAAAAATAAAACTATAGTGTTATATGTAAAATGGCAGTTTTCTTTCAACCTCACTCTGCCAAAGGAAAACTGGGATTCCTAACAATTAGGCTTGTTTAGGAAAAAAAGGGAAGAAACTATCACATGAAGTATATGTCTCTCCACAAGCCATGGAAAAGCACATCTGCACTCCAGGGCCTTTTGTTACTGCTGCTGGCAGATGCTAACAGGCTTAATTTTTACCAAGAAGGCACACAAAGGTCCTTTGTACCGTTTCAGACCCAAACTCCTTAGAAACACTGGGTACAGCTATTCAAAAAGAATCTCTGACTCTCTTCTGCTGATTTACATATAAACACACAAACTATAGAGTCATATACACATATCTAGGCATATATAGGCAGACTAATACCCTGATCAAACATAACCAAGTTACAGTGGCCTAACAAGTGTCAGTTGCCAGCTGATTGAGCCTTTTTCCTGAGACTCAGGATGAGCTGAGCAGATGCCCAAGATGCATGCAGGACTTCAGCTTTTTTTTCTGTCTTAGCTCAGCCTTGTTCAACCATGCCCTGTATCTCTGCATGCACATATTTGTCAGACATTGCTTTTCATTCCTGTCTTTGCTCATTCAGCTGAAGAGAAAAGCCAGGGAACATCCTCCTAACAATTACTGGGTTCAGTCAGCAAGATGGGAGCTGAGATCTCAACTTGTACTCGGCTATCAACAAAGAAGACACACAAATCTATACATCACCTTCAGGTGCCCTTTTAAGTCCATGGGTTCACAAACGTTTTTCTTTCTTTCTTCATCCTTCTCAAGCTCTGACTTCTCCAGTCAGTCATTGTCAGCTAACTTACACCACACAATGAAGCTCTTTAAAAACAAGTTACCCCTCTTTATAAACAATATAATTCACAATTCAGGATAATAAAGAGGAAAAATCTTATCTTTCACCAAAGCCAGAGAAAGACCAGGAATAAAAACTCTACCAGGAAGGCAATCTGCTAAAAGCCTTGTTAAGGCGGACTTTTCTTAGCAGAAAGGATGAAATGAAGCCTCTTGAATGAAACAAACAAATAGAGGGGGGAAAAAAAAAAAGAAAAAAGAAAAAAATCCCCCGCAAAACCCCAATTCAAAGTAAAACAAATAAATTCCTACTTACATGTGAAGAAGTCGAGGACAATAAAATACATACACTCACTCTAGCGCTATTCCTATTGAAAAATTGTGGCCTGGATCTTTACCCTGAGCAACGCTTCCATGAAAGACTGAGCCCTTTCAAAGATCTTTCAATAATTTTACATAGGTTCTTTGTGGTGCGGTCAGCCAAGATGGGCAAAAGAAAATATCATAACACTTAGATGGCTGTAGTGACATTCGTCTATCTGGTATTTGAGACCTGGACTCTAGGAAATAAATCGAAATATTACCTTGCTTTCCATGTGACTTTCCCCTTTAAAAGACAAAAAGATGGCCAAGAACTGAGCATCCGAGGTACAGATAGTTTAAGTGGGCAATATACATTTTAAACAACTGAGCATCATGTAGGCATATTTGACTGAAGGATTTCCATTTGTATTCCTGCCATATGAGCTATTCACGTTTACCAGCTGGCAGACTGCTAAAACAATTGTTTGCACTTTATGGACCATGGCCATGGCTGTATCTTGTGGCATTCAAATCTTTTGATGAGGAAATATAGCTTTGCCATTATTTTCAGGCTACTTTTCAACTAATTAATGTATAACAGATAAACCATGCTAACAAAAACATTGTTTGCCAAGATGCATGGAGAAGGAAATTAGTTTTGTTTTACATAAAAACATTTTTTTCACTCCTACTTATCCTTTTTTTTTACTCCTCTTTATTCTTTTTTTTCATGATAATCTTGTCCATCTTTTCAATAGCTCATTCTCTGTAAAATAACTCCAGGCAAAAGCCTATTGAAACATTTAATATGAACCAGAACAGCTTTGACCAGTTCTGATATTGGTTACACTCTAGCTGGCTAAGAAAACAGAGCTCAAAAGTATGAAGGATTCTTACTGCACAAGAAACATTATTAGAACCATCTTTTCCTTAGCAAAAAAAATGAAAACAGGCAGCAGATGTAAAGAAAAAAAAAATCCATAGCTTTGGTAAATCTCTCAGATATGATTATGCTAAGCAATTTGCTACCTTAGTGTAACTGGATATACATAAGATGAATATCAGGCCTAAACATCTCACAGTGGGAAAAATAAACTTGATATGATTTCAGGGAAGCGGGGAGTTGCTTCTCACAGCAAAGTCCACATACACACATGTGTTTGCCTTCTCTCAGGCCATATCAGCTTCAAAACACTTTATTCTTAATCAGAAATGAATGTTAGCAATGCAGTATTTTTGACAACCTTGTAGTACTGCTATGCTTGTGCTGAGACCAAAAGAAACAAATCTCTGTAAAGAAAACAGATCACAGTTTCAACTTCTTTATAGGGTTATTACTCTCAGTTTCAGTGGTTATCTGCTACTTTGCCATAGTTATGCAAACTATAGTGGTTGAAGTTAAAAAGCACTTATTCTAGAGATCATAGTTCTAGGCCTGAGTGAGAATAAATTGAGAATAGGCCTAGTTTAGCTGAAGAGTAGTAAAGATATCTCTGTTAATTATGGGGAAAGAAAATCATACCTGTTGTTTAGAGTTCGAATTAAGATACTATATAATTCTTATTTCATATAAACATTTTATACAGTTTCTAGTTGCTAATATATTGAAGAGAAGATAGCCTTCCATTTTTAAGGCATAATTTGAAACCGTTCCAGGGACAGTAAAGTTTGAACTTCACATGATGCTTTGGATGCACAGTGCTTTGGATGAAAGATGAGAAAATCCAGTCACCATGGTGGTGGTAAAGGAGGGGAATATGGAGAGGAGACAGAGTAGTGAAGCTGGACAGAAAATCTTGGGATTCATCAGCAATGAGATAACTAACAAAACCAGAGAAACAGATAGGGTTACCCAGAGACAGAAATGTAGAGTAAAGAATATTTTGATCTTGATGAACTGTGAGAAAAGCTATTATAAGAACAGTTAGGAAGGAATCAAGTCTACCCATGAAACACTAATTTGAGGTAAAGTAAAAGAAAAAATCTCACATTAACAAGCAACAATCACATTTACAGAAGTTACAGTCGGCAGCTGCAAAAACAGGCCCACAAAAGACTTTCTTTATGAAGCTGATAATGTCACAATTTCTTACTAGTAATAACTCAGTTTTCAAACTACAGAGTCTTTCTTGGAAAGATTTTTCAAAGTAGAACTTGGGGTTTGGCCTATTATTTTCTAACAAACAGAAATTTCCTCCTTGGAATAGTTCTCATTAAATCTTAATTGTTTTTACTGGCTTTTTGGTTTCCATACCAGATAATTCAAGTATGAATGAAGGCAGATGAGAAAATGGATTATTTGGATTTATAAGTTATCTGGTAGTGAATAAAAACACAGTGGCAAAATCTGTATTTGTCTCACCTACACACATGCTTGAGAGATGAAATAATAGCCAAATTTTCCAAGCTGTCACCATGAAAACAGTTATTTTTCACAAGATAGAAATTGGAAATTTTGCTGGTTTTAAACAGGTTGGAGAAACTCAGAAAGTAGGAAAAATAAAATTATGAAAGAAACTAAGAGCAAACAATGAGCAACCATTGGTAGTTTATGGCTACATAGATGAGTACTATGAATTTCTGGTATTCATCTAATAAATCCCTCGTAGCCTGCACTCACACAAACCAGCTAGAAACTGGTTAATGATGGATACACAAATAACCCAGCTACAAATGTATTCTCATTTTTACTTTTTTTCATTGTCCCACTCTACCTCTTCTGTGGTTTAATTCTGCTAGGCAGAACCTGTCCCTCTACCCACATAAATCCTCTTCTACTAAGATCTGTGTTTAGCAGTGAGGGCAGCAATAGCTCTTGTCTATTGGCTCTATGAAACTGTTAGTTACAGTCTTTCACAAAGAGGCTGCTTTTTCAAGTGCAGTCACTGCTAAAACGCTCTCAGCTGGAGAGATGTGCAAAACATGGATCAAGTATGCAGGGTTCAGCATAGCTTGAAAACACAGATGTGCCCCCACCCTGGAAAACCTTCAAATCAGTTAGAATTCAGAGTAATTTCTCAGCTTTTCTCTGCTTTAGAGAACTAAGGGAATGAACGGTCATTCTTCTCTTCAGTAGTCTTTACCCCTCTGAGGTATGTCTTGGCCCCTTAGAAGGAGATACTTAAAGAACAGATTTAAGGCATAACAGGAGCCTTGAACTCTTCTGGAGACAGAAACATTGCACTCTGTTGTAATGAAAAAACCAGCTTGTGCTTTCAAGTTGTTTTGCTGCTTTATCAAATTTCATCCTATATTACCTTTCTCTGCCCATCATCAATATTGCACCTTAACAGGCACTAAATTAATTTTTATGGCACCTGAGAGTCTCCCATTCAAGGGAGTTGTCCACGATTGCTAAGTTTCCTAGATCACACTTACTCAGCTCAGAACGGACAAAGCAAATTCAGAAAATACTTTTCCTAAATAATTCATGCAGTTCTGCCATTTCAGCTCTTACTGGCTTTTTAAAGAAAACAGTAGTGTCGCTTACAGAAATTGCTTTCTGTTTTCCTAGGGAGGAAAAAGCTTGTGAATAAAGCAGGATAAATAAGAAGGGGTAGAAGAGGCACCAGGCAGTCTTCTGTTAACACAGAAAATAATGTTTCTGTTTCTTGTAGTGGTTATTTACAGTGACAGCAGAAAACATTTAATTTACATAATTAACAGGCTGACATATTACCTTTTGATGCATCCAGGGAGATATAATTAGTTGAGAAGCCCTCAGATGCAATGCTGTCATCACTCACGAAGTACAACATCATCATGTTGCCACCACTAGTGAGAGATGGTGGAATTGATCTTCCACAGTACCTGCAGCAAAAAGATGCCCCAAATTGAATGGCAGGACTTTATGAAGCATCTGTATTACTGGAAGAGTATTCAGCTTTCCTGAGAAGTTCGAACAGCTACACATACACAAATCTTTCCTTTGCATGATACAGATCCCAGCCATATACCCTGTATCATGGCACTAAATAGCACACTACGTGTACAAGGGTACAAATCTAACTTGTGTGGCAAAGTCAGAGGAGAAACTGTTCATCAAGTTGTCAAATTCTTATTGAAATTATTCTATGCTGTACCTACAACATACTCTGTTCTTTTGTAGGAGTCAGAGTGGCTGGCCAAAAACTAAGGTTGCAAAACTCTGTCCATTATAATACGAGAGTCATTTGCACCATATTTTCCAAAATACTGCCATGTGAGCCAACTACTTTACAGTCTGTAGCTGCAGCTGGATACTGTTCCCAAGTAGTTCAGATGTTCTTGAATTCTAGGACGGCAAGAAAACCCTGTATATACCCCAACTGGGGTGACGGGGAAGGGGAAAAAAAGAAAAGATTCTTCCCTAAGATAAAATCACATATCAGGAGAAAGTGAAAACAAAATCCTATAAAATGTAGACTTTGGTTTAGTTTTTGCTGAGATCCAAATGCACAAGCTTTTAAGTAATCTTTCAAGTAATCTTTCTTTCACTTCTGCAAGTGTTTCAAATCACGTCTTTTCCTGGGCATATTAATGCTTTTGAACTTATTTCCCACAAATGAAAATGTTAATGGAGCAGGAAAATGCCAGCTATTGAAACCTGTCCTTAAAAAAGCTGTCCTCTTGACACAAGTTAGTTTCTCCCAGTGTAATATTTATTAAATGTGGTTCGCATGTCATTCCATGCTCAAAGAAAGCAAGCTGCCTTTACTATGCTAGGCAGTGAAATTGCTGGTATTGTTTCTGTAATGCAGAGAAATTAATCTATACACAAAATTGAAGGAAGCTAATTGGATGTCAAGTTCTATAGAATAGTGCTCACTCTGCAGTAATTCAGCTCTGCAGACTAATGGACATATTCACCTTCCCAATTTTTGCACAGTGCTGTTGTCATATATTTCAAGATAATCCTTTCTGCAACTATAATCAAATGCCAAGTTAAATGAAGTGAATGTCAGGCGGATAAGGTAGCCGGGTTGAATGTTGATAATCCAGGTACACTTAATACCATGTGGGTAGACATCTGGGTGGCCAGGACTTGTAATGGTTCCTTCTGGTGCAGTGAGAGTCTCTCCACATACTGTAGAGATTTAAAACATCATGTTAAATTATCTGTTTATAAAAAAGTTAGGCATTTATGAAATCGGTTACTTTTCTTTCTGAAATTTCACAGTCATTTTTTCCTTGATGCATACTACACAGTAACTGATTCAGAATGTATCTCTCATTACACCATCATAAAACTTGATGGCCAACTGTTTTCAGTGTACAGGAAAATTTGGAAAGTCCCAACACTCTACACAGAAAACAACAAAAAAATCCTTACCTGTATCTAATGGCCAGTACTCAGCTCTGAAGCCAAGGTTGGTAAGAGAGGAAGCTTTGAATTTGATATAGAGATTGTTCCGTGTAGATTGCACTCTAGATGGTACAGCTGTACCACAGTATTTCTCCAAAAGAGGAGAGTCTGTGTTGTTGCCATCTCTGACCTGAAGAACAGTTTATTCAAAATATCCCATACAAATTTCTATTATATTAAAGTTGTAAGCATACATGAATTCATAAGAACCATATAAAAGAGATCCTTAGTAAATCAAACCCTACCCTTTCTTCAGCATGGTTTCTACTACAGGCACATACAATGCAACCTTATGACTGCCAGAGAAGCACTCTCCCACCCAAAGCATGTCGGATGGAAAAAATCTGAGATCTTTCACCCTCAACAGTAAGTGGCACATAAACCTCCAAAACCAGGTCTGTCTAGGTTTGGGATCCCATTATGAACCTGGAAAAGCTTTTATAACTGCTGTAAGAAGTGCTCACCTGTCAAGCAGTTCTGCTTTGGTGGAGATGAGTATGAGAAGAAACAGAGAGATAAGAATCTATCTACTATTCATAGTATATGAATTATTACTCTTTACCTCAATGTAGTCCGAGTCACAAGTGGTTGTATTTCGAATGTCAAAGTCGATAAAGTTAAGAATCACTACTTTGCTAGCTGGCTGGGAGATGATCCACTCACAGGTCTTTGGGTGAGGGGACATCCTGGGGTAGTAAGGTGAATGGATAGTGCCTGCTCCAGACAAGGAGCCTCCACAGGCTGCCAAGAGACACCAAGAAGCAGTACTTGTGATGAATGGTTTCAAGGAATGCATAATGTGATGGCTATCAAATATCACTATGAAATTATAAGAAAACCACCCCTAAAAACCTATCTTCTTACAGCATCTACTACAGATCATCCAAGTAGTGTTAAGAAGGTATTTAAAAAAACATATTGCTATAAGTATAGCATAAACAATCTAACTGTGCCCAAGAAAACTAATGGATTTGACTCATTTGTTTCACAGACACAGATAGATTTGTGGGTGATTAAGAACTAAAAGATAAGAAAAAGAAAGTAAAAAGATTTAGGCAGAATTATAGCTGTATCATCTTTCGTATGTTAGCGGTAAGTGATTTATCATTAATAGAAGCAATGAAGCTTCATTTCCAAGCATGCTAGGAATGCCTACAACAGACCTACTGCAGACATCACCTTAGAATTTCTAAAAGTAACAATAAATATATAAATTGACTTTTTTTTTGACTTTTCCTTTTTTTTGAAGTTTGTCTTAAACCCATTATACGGATAATACAGCAAGGAAATGACTGAAAGTGTTCAAATTAGAGATCAGTTCATTGTGCAAGTCACCAGTTCCTCTTACCAACTTGATAAATGGCCCGGAAGCTAGCCCTTTGCACAGAAGCATCAGACTTGAACTTGATCCAGAGACTGTTGCTGGTAGAAGTGATTGGAGATATCAGTGTACTATGACAGAATTTGCTAATAAGAGAAGACATCTCACTGTCACCATTTCGAACCTAGTCATCGAAAAGAAAAAAAAAAGGTCAGATCATAAAAGCGTTGGGATCTGATACCTGGATAAAATTATAATCTCACAAGAGCTGCTAAAAGGAGTAACTATTTTACCTATTTCTAAGAGGGGAAAAGAGCCATCACAGTAATTGGCACAAGCACATGATCTACAAGAGCTCAAAGAAAGGATCGGATGATCAGCACAGAAGACACATACATACTACTGTCACAGGACATTAGGATGAAACAGATCTTCTCTATGAACTGCAGCTTTAGTACAATATGCTTCCAAAAGTGACACCTTTAATATGTGTCCCGGTTTCGGCTGGGATAGAGTTAATTTTCTTCCTATTAACTGGTATAATGCTGTGTTTTGGATTTAGTACGAGAATAATGTTGATAACACACTGATGTTTTAGTTGTTGCTAAGTAATGTTTACATAGCCAAGGACTTTTCAGCTTCCCATGCTCTGCCAGGTGCACAAGAAGCTGGGAGGGAGCATGGCCAAGACAGGTAACCCAAACTGGCCAACGGGGTATTCCATACCATATGACGTCATGCTCAGTATATAAGACTGGGGGAAGAAGAAGGAAGGGGGGGAGGTTCGGAGTAATGGGGTTTGTCTTCCCAAGTAACCGTTACGCATGATGGAGCCCTGCTTTCCTGAACCCCCTGCCTGCCGATGGGAAGCAGTGAATGAATTCCTTGTTTTGCTTCATTTGCGTGCGCGGCTTTTGCTTTACCTATTAAAGTGTCTTTATCTCAACCCACAAGTTTTCTCACTTTCACTCTTCTGATTCTCTCCGCCATCCCGCTGTGGGGGCAGTGAGCGAGTGGCTGTGCGGTGCTTAGTTGCCGGCTGGGGTTAAACCACAACAGTATGAAAGAGACAGGTAAGGTGCTCACCAGTGAGAGCTATGAAATTTTTGCCTGCGCTAAAATCTGCTGGGGCAAAAAAGGGGTATTTGTGATTTTCTTGCTCTGGCCATGAACATTCTAGGGATTTTTCAATGGCACTTCTCCAGAACAAGCACATGTCCTATCACACCCATACATCAATGCAGCCAGACAGCTCACTAACAAGAGATGCAACTCTGAGTCCCTAAAGCAGTAAAGAGGTATGCTGACATTTTCCATTACTTTAACTGAAGGGTCCAACGCATGATAATGAAAATTAAGCTAGATCAGGGAATCACTTCCAGCTTTTACCTTCTGCACTGCCACTTTACTGACCTCAATCAATTTGCTAATCAAAGGAGAAATGTATCTTATGTGTTTTCCCAGAAGTTGATTATAAATCCTGACTAGAAGGG